AACATGAATGTAATAAAAAATATTGCACCTAACTTAAGTGAAAATCAAGAAGTCAAAGCAAAATCAAACACCAATATTATCACAAGAAATAAGTTGAAAGTGAACAATAAATATTTTAATTTAATTCTTGATTTCCTAACTAGTAAATAAATTCTTCTAATTTCAAGAAGCAAAGCTGGAACAGAATCAATACATTAGGATGCAATAGCCTATTGAGCTTTTCACACAGTTTAAGAATGGATGGAGAACCCATTGAACCAACAATAATTGTATAAAAAGATAAGATATACTCACTCGAGTGAAAAGATCATGGACAATTGTCACAACATATAAGATATCCGTAATCAGAGCAACCTGAGGATTATTTGTTCGGAAGAAAACAACCTCAGGATACAAAGACTGCATTTTCTAATAAAATCAAAGAATGATCTATTTTAGATGAACCTCACATATACAAATATATATTAACAAATTGGATTGTGAAACTTAAATTCTTAATATGCATCGACAGGACCTGTAAAAAGTTTGAATGAAGAACTTCTGCACGACAATTGAGGTCTGTCTAAGTAGAATATTGTAGAGTGCTTCATTTTATGATTATTCATGACACCTAAAAGAGCTATATGGATGGTCCAAAGGGATGGTACAACTTGAAGAGTTGGCTGGTCTGATTCTATGATGGTTATTAGTTGGACAATTTTACTCAATAAAGCAGGTGCATGTACACGTGTTTGAATCGTGCATGTGCGTGCAGGAAAATAACTTTGAAATTCTTTTTAAAATAATATTTCTAAAAATGAACTAACGCTAAATTAAGAAAAGAAATACTTCATAACATGTCCAAAAACTTCTCTTTTGCTATGAATACTCTAAACGAATATTGTGCTTGCATCGTACGTGTGTGATGAACAAGTATTGAGTATTTTGTTAAGATTCATTACTAAAAAAAAATCAATAGGAGAGTAAAATATAATATAATAAAAGTTTTACTGAGTTAAACCTCTCATGTGTATATAGCTCAAGATCTGTATGAAATTGGCTGAAAACAATTTGAGTATTACAATAACCACCCAGCTGAAACAGCTATTCGAACAATTTATCAAATGCTCGATAAAATTCAGTTAGATAACCAGAGAAAAAACTCAGCCCGCAAATGGCACATCTACCATCGTCAGCCTCTGTTGTTTCAACAATACGTATGAACCTCTGGTTATTTGTTCGAGAGCATTGACTCCTGCAACACTCCCAGTTGCAATGGCATTAGTACTGTGCTGTGCACACATTTCCTTCCAGATCATATTCTAACAGTATTTAAAACACCAACTGTCTGGATGGATTCTTAGAAGAGAAACACATTCTGCAAGAGGAACCAAGGATGAAGATCAACGCAATGGAAAAGGAGATTTAATATATATATATATATATATATTATTTATTTATTTATTTATTTATTTTTTTGGAAATTTCACCCTTGCCCCAAGCGGACTCGTTTCTTTGTCTATGACTTAGAAAGACGCTTTGGTAACCCATATATTAACTTAAGCTAATAAAAAGAAGAAAATGATGTAATACAAAAATTGCGGCAACATGAATGCTGTAGAAAATATTGCGCCTAAAGCGAAAAAGAAGAATTTGAAGCACATTTGAGCAACAAGATTAACACAAGAAATAAGATGAAAACAAACAAAATAATATCAATTTAATGCTTGATTTCCTAACTAGTAATTAAATACTCCAAATTTCGAGTAGCAAAGCTGGAACATAATCAATTGAACTTTTCACAAGGTTTAAGAAACGATAGGGATCTCACTGAACAGGCAACAATGCTGTAAAAAGACAAGATATACTCACTAGAGTGAAAAGATCGTGGACAATTGTTAGAGCATTTAAGATTTCCATAATCAGAAAAACCCGAGGTTTATTTGTTTGTAAGAAAGCAGCCTCAGGATTTGCAGACTGCATCTTCTAACAAAATCAAAGAAGAGTCTATTTTAGCGATATGAACCTCACATATTGTAATATATATTAACAGATTGGATTGTGAAACTTAAAACTCTTAATATACATCGACAACACCTGTAAAAAGTTTGAGTTGAGAACTTCTGGATGACAATTGAGGTCTGGCTAGGTAGTATATTGAAGAGTGATACATTTTATGATTATTCTTCAAAACTAAGAGAGTTATATGGATGGTCCTTAGGGATGGTAGAACTTATAAAGTCGGATGGTTTGATCCTATGATGATTTTTAGTTGGACTATTTTACCCATTATTGAAAGGCAGGCGCATGTACAAATACTTGAATCGTGTGAGTGTGAGTGTGCAGAAATTCTTTTTAAAATAATATTTCAAAAAATAAACTAATGCTGAATTAAGAAAAGATATACTTGATAAAACGGCCAAAAAATTCTCTTTTGTTACAAAGACTCTAAACGAATATTGTGCTTGCGTCGTGTGTGTGTGATGAACAAGAATGAGTATTTTGTTAAGATTCATTATTAAAGAAAATCAACAAAAAAGCGAATAGAGGAAAATAGTGCTGGATCATCTTTCAAAGGATAAGAGAGCAAAATATAATATAATAGTTGTAGTAAGTTAAAACTGTAACGAGAATATAGCTCAACATCGGTACGAAATTAGCCGAAAACAATTTGAGTATTACAATAACCACCCAACTGAAACAGCTATTTGAACAATTTATCAAATGCTTGACAAATTTTGTTAGATAAAAAGACTGGAGCAAAAACTCAACCCGCAAACGGCACATCCACCATCATCAGCCTCTGTTGTTTCAACAATACGTATGAATCTCTGGTTATTTGTTCGAGACCATTCACTCGTGCAACTCTCCCAGCAGCAATGGCATTATTATTACTACGTAGTCATTTCCTTCCAGATCACATTCTCACAGTACTTACAACCCCAACTATCTAGATGAATTCGTAGAAGAGAAACACATTTTGCAAGAGGAATGATGCATGAAGAGCAAGGCATTGGAAAAGAGGATTTATAATTTTTTTTTTTGAAATTTCACCCTTACTGTGAAGGATACTCGAACCTTGGTAGAAAGACGCTATGGTACCCATATATTAACTTGAGATAATAAAAATAAGAAAATAGATCTAATACAAAATTACGGCAACACGAATGCAATAAAAAATATTTCACCTAACTTAAGTGAAATACAAGAATTCAAAGCATATTCAAAAACCAAGATTAATATCTTAATTTAATTTTTGATTTCCTGACTAGCAAATAAATTATCCTAGTTTAATTGAGCAAAGCGGGAACATAATCAATAATGAGGATTTAATAGCCTATTAAACTTTTAACACGGTCTAAGAATGGATAGAGAACTCATTGAACCAGCAATAATGTCATAAAAAGACAAGATATACTCAACAAAGTGAAAAAATCGAGGACAATTATCATAGAATATAAGATCTCCATAATCAGAGCAACCTGAGGACTATTTGTTCGCACGAAAGCAAACTCAGTATTCAAAGACTGCATTTTGAAACAAAATCAAAGAATAATCTATTTTAGTGATATGGACCTCCACATATTCAATTATATATTAACAGATTGAATTGTGAAACTTAAACTCTTACAATGCATCGACAAGACCAGTAAAAAGTTTTAACGGAGAACTTCTGGACGACAATTGAGGTTTGGCTAGGTCCAGGAATATTAAAGAGCGCTTCATTCTATGATGATTCATGACACCTAAAAGAGCTATATGAATGGTCCTAAGCGATGGTACGACTTAAAAAGTTCGCTGGTTTGATCTTATGATGATTATTACTGGGAATATTTTACCCCTTATTAAAAGGCATTGCATGCACATGTGCTTAAATCGTGCGTGGAGGAAAATAATTTTGGAATTCTTTTTAAATAATATTTCTAAAAATAAACTAAAGCTAAATTAAGAAAGAAATACTTAATAACATGTCCAAAAACTTCTCTTTTGCTACAAAGACTCTAAATGAATATTGTGCTTGCGTCATGTGTTTGTGATGAACAAAAATAAGTTTTTTTTGTTAAGGTTCATTATTAAAAAAAAGATCAATGAACAAGGGAATAGAAGAAAATAGTGCTGGATCATCTTTCAAAGGATAAGAGAAACAGTTGTATTAAGTTAAACCTCTAACATGTATATAGCTCAAGATCGGTATGAAATTAGCCGAAAACACTTTAGTATTACAATAACCACCCAGCTGAAACAGCTATTTGAACAATTCGTCAAATGCTCAACAAACTCTTTTGAATAAAAATACTGGAGCAAAAACTCTACCCACAAATGGCACATCCACCATCATCAACCTCTGTTGTTTCAACAATACATATGCACCTCTGGGTTATTTGTTCGAGAGCATTGACTCTTGCCACTCTCCCAGTAGCAATGGAAATAATATCGCACTTCGCAGACATTTCCTTCCAGATCATATTCTCACAATATATACAATACCAGCTGTTCTGAGGAATTCTTAGAAGAGAAATACAGTCTGCAAGAGGAACCAAGCACGAAGAGTAAGGCCGTGGAAAAGAGGATATATATATATATATATANTATCCGTCGCTGAAGCCCCAAAATCCGTTGGAAATGAGCTTCAGAGACGGATTTCACCCGTCGGTAAATCCGGCGGCAAACACCCCGCTGGTAAAATTAGCGATGGATTATATTAGCCGTCGGTGAATAGCGACGGAAATAAACCGTCACAAATTACCTACGGAATATTCAGTCGCAAATGGCCCACGGATTTTGTCATCGCAAATTACCTACAAATTATTTGCGTCGATGATTAGCAACGGAATTCCGTCTCTATTTCCATCGCTAATTTGAATGAATTTTTTTTTTAAAAAAAATATATATATTATTATTATTATTCTTTTCTAGGAAATTTAATAAATTAAAGTTTACATACACTCAAAATTAATTAAATTTCAAGAGAAACAAGATAATAGATGTACATTTCGACATAGACCAATTTAAGTTCCAAATCATCTCCAATTTCCGCTGAGGGATTTCTCCACCCAAATCACCATCGGCGTAACCTCAATTCTGAAATTTTCTTCTTCCCACTTAAGCTGCATTATCTTCGTCCACAATTGCTTTGACTTCCCTAGCTAGAACAACCCAAAATCAAGTTAAAATATTCACATACAACATGCCAAGTGGTGTAGTAAATAATACATGTAGTGATGTAGGCAGATACTTTCAAAATAAGGAAAGGTGTTTGAATAATGGGAAGATGATAATATCAGCAATGTGGCATATCATGAATCTTGTTTATGTTACTTGTAGTTATTTATGATAGGTTAAGCTAAATGCAAATACTAACTTTTCCCGAGTCTGTTTACATTGATGGTGAGGCACAAGGATATCCAATGAGACATGGTACTTTAAGTTTGAGAGGTGCTGTTATGAAGCCACATTATTAGGAAGTACAAGATAGTTTCTAAAAGGGATTTATCCTTTGAGCCTTAATATAGACGTTGTAACTTGCAAAACCACATTAGAATGGATTTAGTGGTGATAAACACTTGAAGTTGATGAATTCTCTACATAGAAACCATGGATGCAAATTCTAAATCTTGATATATTTGTTATACTTATGATTTATAAGCAACCAGATCAGGGATAACAACTTAAACAGAGACTTGTAGTTTAAATCCATGGTCTCTAAATAAGAGATTTAGACAACTTCTTTACCTTCAACATCTGCGGGAACTAAGGGTGTTCCTTTCTCACTAGTTGTTCTCATTTGGAAAGGATTCTTCCTGATTCCAAAGGACATCAAATCCACGATAAATCATAACTATATCCTTTTAATTAATAGAAATTCATTTCTTATCAAGCACAAAAGCACAGGCTAGAAAGCAGCTATGGAAAAAAGTTTGACACACACTAGATTATGACTTGCTTTCTCAATGCCGCAGCAGCGAATAGAGTTCCCAACTTTGACCACTAAGTCATAGACTTCCTTGTAAGTCATCCATACATATTTACCAGGCTGTAAGTAAAAGCAACGAGTCCAAGAATTAGGTCTAAATAAAAATAACAACAAACTATAAATTAAGTCTTGTTGGGTAGGCTAAATGAATCCTTTTTCACTTGTTAAACTCAATTGAAATGGGGAAAAATATCAATGTTTCAAACATGGATGCATAAATTGCATATATACCTTTCCATTGACGATCTCACAACGACCAAGCATTCGGTTATTTGGATGTTTCTCTACTGACAAACTGTGACAATAAAAAGGTTCAGTTCAAACAATAATCAACATTGAAAACAAAGAAGTATAATTCAAGCAGTATCTTAAGGGTGACTTTTTCAAGTTTGAACCAAATTTTTGAACCAAGTTTTGTAATCCCACCCACCCCCAATTATACCTCAACCAGTAATACTTTGCACTTAGTGTACCACTCATTTTTTTTATTATAAAAGAGAAGGAAAATGAAGGGGAAAATGGTGCTTCAAACCAGACAAAGATGGATACATTATAAAGGATATCCATGTGCATGTGAATCTTTTTGGATGAACAATAGAATCACATATGCAAACTAAAGAATGTAACTTGTTATTAAAAGCTTTCCTAAGAGCTAAAGTTAAAACTCAATACCTGAAAAGCCTAGTTGTTAATTTATGATGTATAACCAAATGTTACTGAACAGTGCCAATGAATCTTGTTTCTTGAACCCCCATGATTTCCACTTCAAGTCATGCCATGATCACTTACACCCAGCTAGAAGTTAAAAGCTCATCGAAATAGATCAATCAAAAGCATCAATTTCAAGTTACTGGAAGCAAAAGCAAGTTATGCCCAAATCAAGAATCAAGTAAAATCAAGCCAAATACTCTCATTAAGTTCACCAATCTCTAATGATCCATTCTCATCCCCTCAGCAATTCATAGTGTAATTCACATAGCAATTAACAGAATTACAGATTCACAGAGGCAAGAAGCAATACTATAGACAGAGACTACAGACTACAACATTCAAGAAATTTCAATTAGTCAGTAGTCACCAAAGCAACTGCAGCATTCCAAATCAACAATGCCCAAAAATTAGTTAGCATCAGACAGAGACTACACTACACAAATTTCTTGAAAAAATTTGACAAATCAATTTGATTAACATTCCAATTCAACAATGCCCAAATTTCAACAATACCTAATTTCAATTCCGTAAGATTAGTTAGCATCAGACAGAGACTACTGACTATACAACAATTTCAATTCAAGTTCAACAATACCCAAATTTCAACATGAATTTTTTAACAAGCTCAAAGTCTCAAACATAAAAAACAGTATGAAATCAAACGCAAACCCAGCTCAAACATAAAAAAATGGTATGAAATTATACCTGACTTTTCTGCACAGAGGACAACAGAGGCGGAGGTGGGAATTAAAATTTTAGAAGTAAATCAAATTCTAGGTGGGAATTAAAATTTTTTGAGTTTTCAAACGGAATTTTTTCATTGGTAACTATATAATACTTTTAAAATTTTACTTACAATATTTACCAACAGATTTTGAAATTGTCACTAAATTATTTAATTTATTATTTATTATTTTTAAATTTTTACCGACGGATTAGTAACAAAAA